GTACCCTCTGACAAAACCTTTTCTTCAGTCTGGCAAAATTGGTCATGTTTATCATTATCATTACAATCACTGTTGTCAGCAAGGTTAATGGCATCATCAATTGGACATGAACCTGAAGTGCCATCATCAATGGGACATGACCCTGAAGTGCCATCCTCAATGGGACATAACCCTGAAGTGAAATTGCTTGTGCGTGCTGCAATGAAAAATATAAATGCATCCTATGTCAACTGTATAATTTTATCTAGTAATGGCTGTATAAATATTCCAACATAGGCTTGTAGGTGGCATGAATGAAAGGCCAAAACAGGGTTGCTGTTGGGTTTTACCAACATATCTGTCTTACTAATTACAATACTGTCTACAATTTGAATTAATTGAAATGAAAGGGATAATATTATTCCATATAATATTTCCCCTTTATTTCATTCCTCTTTCGAGCACGAGCATTTCGATCAACTGCAAGGGAAACATTTTTAATTTTGTCGTGACCAAGATTTATGGTACGTACCCAGTAATAGTTGGTGGTGTCCAGGAGCTCAGCACGTTCTCCTACAAGTAAACATTTATTAATGTCCTATTTCTTTGACAAAATTTCTATGTAACGATAACAAATCGTTAATTTAGGTCATTTTGTTGGACAATTCATAAGAAATAACTTGGTTATCTCCTGATAATTCATGCAAATTCAAAGATGACAGACCATATGTGCAAACATGTGCGCGAGGTGATTCGCTATCATTTGGTTCAGTCAACAATTTTATTCCTTGTGGAAGTGAGGACTGATTCTCGAGAAGAGATTAAAAATTTTACCAAAGTATTTCACATTATCTACTTACCAGAAATAAAATGATTGCTACAAACGCCAGAGTTTTTAGCTTTCTCAGTTGTCGTCAAACTCCTTTCTTCGTTTTGACGTTACGTCACGGCTAATTATAAACACTAATTGCTAGGGCAATGAGCTGGTCTAATTATAAACATCACAATACTATAAAGTTTCTTATTGGTGTAACACCACAAGGTGTTATCTCATTCATTTCAAATGCATGGGGTGGGAGAGTGAGTGACAAATATCTCACAGAAAAGTCTGGTTTGTTGAGAAAGCTTTTACCTGGGGACATGTGCTTGCTGACAGGGGCTTTGATATTGCTGACTCTATTGGTCTTTATCAAGCTCACCTTCAGATACCAGCATTTACTTTAGGTAAGAAACAGTTGTCTGCAGAGGAAGTGGAGCAAACCAGAAAAATTGCTAATGTCCGAATCCACGTGGAAAGGATGATTGGTCTTGTCCGCAGAAAGTACACTATATTTCAAGAAATACTCCCTATTCAGCTGGTGACAGCTCGGCAAGGTGATGACTTGGCTCCAATAGACAAAATTGCAGTAACTTGCTGCACCCTTACTAATATATCAGAGTGTCTGTGCCTTTTAATTAGAGTATTTAGACCCTTTGTGGGAGTATCAATATTTTATCAGGTATCATTGGGAAAACATGATGTTTAATTCAGCAACAATTTCCTCTTCAAGGAGTTTCTAAGTTAAGAAATATAACTTTTAGGCCTAATCCATACCTTACAGTCAACGGAATTGAATTAAATTTGTGTAGTTATTAATAATGATGGTGGTTCCTAATACTAATAAAACATTCAACCAACGATAAAAAAGCCTAAAGTGGCTAATGAAGGGGTTAACATATTTTGTATAGGTAGCTTAAAAAATGTTTCTGTTGTAATCAAATGGTATCATAACAAATAAATACAAGAACTGAATAACTTTGGACATCATGAACAACAACAACATTTCTTTATATCAACAATTCCAAATTTTTGCACATCAATTTCATGGTGCTCATGAAGGGCAAATCCATTCTCCATCAGGCTCTGTTCTAAGTCCCACACATGACTTATACGCTTCATTTGCTGCCCGGTTATCCACGAGGTCTGGAGTACCAGATAATTCACAATGTCTGGGTATAATTTCCACGCTAGGAAATACATTTAACGTGTATGGATCAAATCCACAGATAAGAACTTTTACTCGATACCTGGCCTTAGCAGAACTGGTAAGACTGCCATAATTTTCCGAAAAAGGAACACTTTCACTCGAAGGCGCGTCTGCCGACGCCATATTTACTTTAACAGATGTCCACCAGCATGGCGGTCGCGACTTACGTTACAAAATTTGGTCACGTGGCTGAAAACAAAGAATTAATAGACACCATCTCTTCACTTACAGACAAGCTGCATGTTCACATTGAAATTTAACCCGTATGCCTATTTGCACACATGCGAAAATATTTAGCAATTATCTTTCATGTTGATTTTTGAGTAAAAAATCAATCAGAGAAAAAATAATCGCAGCAATGCGACAGAAAATCTCCTTTGGTGGGGGGGGGAGAACACTTCCTTCGTGAGGTAAGTGCGATCGCGGTCGCCGACGCGACATACGAAAAAGGGACGATATCGGAGAAAATGAACTGAATTCCGAGCATCATCTGAAGGTTTCTATAGTTACAGACGGACTTACACTCTGGATAGCATAATATTTATGACTTCATGGAAGTCCATAGATATAAAAATTGATTCAATACTGCAACTCAGTCTCAAATATTGTGCATAGTGTACTGTCCTGTGGCATGAAAAATTTGTAGCATATGGTGAGTTATTTTAATTTGGAGATTTTAGGGCTTTCTTCATTATCAACAAATGTAAGGTCCACAGTAAAGTCAATCCTTTCAGAGTAAAACTACAAATTTTACTTTGGAATACTTTGGTGCGTTCAGAAACTTCGCAAAATAGCAAAGCAGGGGACAGGAATAGTGTTATTGTTTTGTTTCATTGTTGTGTGACTCCACTGGTGCATTAAGTTTCTTAGATTTGAAGAATTCAGTGAGATGTTTCCAATGAGTGAAATGTGCAGAAACTCAACTAGCAAGGACAGTCGAAAAAGGACAGTAAAAAATATTACTAGCCATTTCCTTTGTTATTTTTTTCCATTGCTTGAACAGAGGTTAATGGTTGTCTTGATTCGCAAAAGTGTGCCTCTGCAAAACACACAAAATTGACAACCCTAGACTAAAACTACTAAACATTTGTCAAGTGACATGATTGGAGCAGTTTACTAGATTGCTTTAAGTTTTTCACAGTTTAAATGACTACTTTTTTAAGCTCAAAATGATCTTGTAATTCTGCCTATCCAGAGCTGTCCATGTGTATGCTGTATCAGCCATTGGTAAAATTGTGGTAGGGGCAAGTCAGTAGCATCTGAGTACACTGTCAGCTTGTAGTTAACATGAAGTAGAATTGAGAAAAATTTGACAAAATCACTGGGAAAAAACCCTTTATCAGCTGTAGAGTTTTACCAAAACCATTCATAGGCTCTCACTCAATTGTTACAACATAACAAAAGTTACATTTTTAGAGATATTTTAACATATATTTTTACACAATTATAAGAGAGCCAGTCTGGCTTGTTATAATCAACAGAACAGAATGGTCTCTGTCCAGAGCATAATCACTCATACAATGGAAGACTTTAACATAACAATGACAAGAATTTTTGTGTGTCATGTTAGGTTCAAAAGCTGGAATCTTGTCCAAAGATGCCATCAAAAGTAAAGCTTCCATGACAGGTGGTTTGGTTGGTCAGTCTGAGCACTTGATTCTTCCATCAGTTCCTCCAGTTGTTACAATGATTCTAACACTTCTGTCTGTGATGGTGAGATGTTACTCAGCTTTTGCATGGTATTTTGTGTAGGTCAAATGTAGATTTTATTTAATAATTCTTAAATAGATTTTGTTATTCAATTGTAAACTTGCATGCTTATTTTTTGTTGACTTTTATGTATTTTAGACTGGTCCTCAATTGATACCAGTTAATCGCTATTGATTGACTGACTGGTCTTTAATCATTGATAATTAAAGTTATATTATTATATTGTTATTACATTTACCACAAATGAAAACAAAGTGCAGTTTCAGCATAAATGTGATTGACATTCTTTCATGTACTTTGCTTCTCTCTCTCTTGATTTGTGAACAGAACTTTTGCAAGTTAGATTTTGTTGTTATTACTTTAATGCACCACATTGAGTCAAAAACAATTTTATTGTGCCTAAGATGGGAGAAGAAGCCTATGGAAAATAGTTAAGACGGGTGTTAAAGGAGAGAGGGGTGTGGAAAAGGGATTCTTAAATAATTTTGAGAAATGTGATTCTGTCGTAACAATGATTGCAACTTCAACTCATGTCGATAGATTGTCTCAACCCTTCCCCTTTCTGTCTGTCAAACAATTTTATGATGTTAGTTTGGAGAATTTGGTATTGTATCAACTAAGAACCTCCTAATTGATATTTTTCTTTACTCTCCTCGCTTGTCTGCTGGTTTTCTACTGATATTGTAAGGGGAAATTCTGCCTTGGTCAGTCATGGTAGTTGAAGGGTTGACTCTTTTTTACTCCCAAGATCCAAATATCCATTCTTTGTACTTTCTTCCATGCAGTTCTTATAATTTGGGTACTGGCTGTGCTCTAAGAAAAATCGAAGGGAGCCCAGTGCTCTGAAACTTTGAAATCCAGGGTGCCCAGCATATGCTTTTCATGAAAAAAACTAAGATTCCTGAGTTGCCTAAGAGCAAAGTAAGGTGTCAGGGGCCACCAGGCGCTGCTACAACACAGCCCCGACTGAGAATTTATTGTCATATCAATCTGTGCTAGCTGATACTTTTTTTTCTTCTTTTTGCCGTACTCCTTGGAAATTTAGTGCACTGTAAGGATAATTTTTTCTGATCACATCTGCGAGGGAAAGAGTTGAAAAAAAAAAACCCAAGATAATGGCAAGTCAGTCACAACAAAAGAAAGTTTTTCAAGGTGATAAAAGAGCGTTTTTCGATTGAGTGTCGTAAAACTAAAAGCAAAGTAATCACAATGGCTAGTCAAAAAAAAAGGAAAATATCTTAAATGCTAATGAGAACTCAGGATAAAAACAATCGAACTGCCTACGGTAAATCAACTAAGTTGAAATTGTAAATTGGCCACCGTAGCGAGTTAAAAAGCTGACTTTCGAGCGTTCGCATTCGCTCTGACGAAGGGCTAACGCTCGAAACGTCAGCTTTTTAACTCGTTACGGCGGCCAATTTACAATTTCAACTTAGTTGATATACCTTGTTACCCCCACCGACGCAGCACCACAGTTTCTTTAGAAACTTTCACCCTTTATTCATTTGTCTACAGTAAAGGGCGGGAAAACACGGGCGACCAACTCGTGATTGGTTTCTTGCTTTGCATCTGATTGGTTGAGAGAGTGGCGCGAGCTATCTGGACCAATCATAGGGCGAGGTAAAACAAAACCCAAGTAATCTTGGATTGTTTTCGACAGTCTGTTATAAGGTTAAAACAGGTGAACCACTGAAAGCGCGGGAAAACGTGGGGAACCAAGTCAAGATTGGGTCTAGTTTTGCCTCTGATTGGTGAAGGGTGACGGGAGTTTTTTGTAGAACAATCACGAGTTAGATAAAGAGAAACGAATGGAATCACTAGTTTCTTTGGACAGTCCAAAGCTACCTTTTCTTTTCAGCCTGCTCTGTGGCATGTCTGGTTTAGACCGTCAGGCATCACTGGATTTCTCCGTTGTCTCGTTCTTTGTGCCTTTGGTTCCTTCTTGTTCGGTTGGCATGTGCACGAAAAAGCCATCTTGATGGTTATTGTTCCTCTCAGGTATAAAGCTCAGTGAATGTAATGTTTATCTTGATTAAATGGTGCGTCTCTTTTGCAAATCACGCAGTGATTTTCCAAAAATCCAACAATAGCCAATTAGGAGAAATCTAATTTTGAAGAGCCAGTGAAAACTTGAAACTAGTGTACGTAGCTGTGTTGAACAAAGAACATACGAAAATTTACCACACTCTCAACACGTTTCTTTACAGCTCAGTTGAACCTGAAGTAGTGCCCATTCAGTATCCAGGGAGCACGTGTTTGAATCCTGTGGAAGCCTGAATTTTAAGGCTTCATTTAATTGTACTCAGTGGCTTAATTCGAACTTCAATATTGTTATGTGTAGTTAGTACAAATTTCATTATGTCGTCTCACGAGGAAGATTTATATCTTATAAGACGTTTTGTTGTGTAGGATCGCTTAGTATTTTTCCGAGTTTTGCCGTATTTTGACGAGCCCGTAGGGCGAGTCAAAATACAAATAACGAGTAAAAATACTCAGCGATACTACACAACAAAACGTCTAATAAGAGATTTATTATCCGACACGCCAAATTGTTATTTTAGTGCGGGCGAATTTTGTGGATATTTGTGGAGTACAAATCCCGCGTGATATTTGTACTCGTCTCGCGCGTTATTTGTACTCTGTGAAGCACAGTTGGATAATAAAACTTGATATTATTTGGTTTGTCTGTGTTTGTTATACTTTGTTCTGGTTTCCATTTTTTGTTTGAGTTCAGCTTATTGGCTGTTGTTGAAAGACGAGCTGCACGAGTTTTTCTCTTGCTGAGTACAACAGGCCATCTGTCACTGTTTCCTCTGCTGTTCCAGTCACAAGGTAAACCTGTTCTCTCTGTTCATACTGCTCTATTAATATTACATGAAGATTAACAATAAATAACTTTCCACTAACATTTCATATCGCCTTTTAATCCCCCCCCGCCCCTCTTCCCCTGCTACTTGTATAGAGGATGAAAGGGGGTGAACTTCCATACATCGGTTGTATAGACGCAGTTTTAGAACAAACAAAGTTTCCTCGGAACAGCTGGGTTATAAAGTTAGGCAAGTTCTGCTTTGGAACATGGTGCATTTAACAGCTGTTCCGGTTTACGGCAGAGGAACTTACTTTTACTTTCTTTAATAGCCTGCTGGTCCGAGTTATTCAGGTCTAACAACTTCAATAACGCGCTGTTCTTTTAGACACAGGTCTATAACTTAATGTTTTTAACCTCGGATTTTAAGATCTGCTTTTCAGTTAGTGCGTAAAAGCAACGTATTCTTATAATAATAATGTAAATAGCAATAAAACTGAGAAAACATAGAGCAACTACTAGTTCATTGTAACCCAATTGGTATTGCATCTGAAGTACCAGTCGGAAGGCCATGGAATTATTTATTTCCTGAAGCACAAGGTTGTCTGTGTGACGGAATGAATACGTTCTCCTGTTTATCATATAAGGGGCAAAATTACTGAATTCTGATTGGTCAAGACAGAGGGCATTTATTCTTAATTTTTGTAATTACCCCGGGCAAAATTACTTGAAAATGATTGGCTGAAAATCGCTTAGCAACGGCTGCCAAGGTAAAGAAATTTCTGTTTGTTTTGTAACAATGGCGTCCCGTTTTGCGCGAGATCAGTAAGAAAACATTTTGCCCCTTATATTATAAACAAGTAATCACATGGTTCCTCGTAAAATTAAGGATTAATATCACTTGTGTTTTCGGAAGTTGCAGAAATTGCCCTCGTCGCTGCGCGACTCGGGCAATTTCAGCAACTTCCGAAAACACGCGTGATATTAATCCTTAATTTTACTCGGCCCCATGCGATTACCTATATTAATTTGCCAGGTGGGTGCTTTAATTTGTGCCTCCCCTCCCCCATTACTTCCACTTTTAGAACTTTTAGATAGGCACAGTGAAATCACTGTACGTAATTGTAATCATTTCATTTGCTTTTTGNCAGCAAGCCTCGAACCATACAACAACTTCTAGTTCCTCCTGTTCTTCCCCTTCATTTGTTTTGTAACAATGGCGTCCCGTTTTGCGCAAGATCAGTAAGAAAACATTTTGCGCGACTCGGGCAATTTCAGCAACTTCCGAAAACACGCGTGATATTAATCCTTAATTTTACTCGGCCCCATGCGATTACCTATATTAATTTGCCAGGTGGGTGCTTTAATTTGTGCCTCCCCTCCCCCATTACTTCCACTTTTAGAACTTTTAGATAGGCACAGTGAAATCACTGTACGTAATTGTAATCATTTCATTTGCTTTTTGCTTTCAGAAACTCCCATAAAAGTCTTTCTCATGCTGATGTTCACAATTTTTTCGTTCTATTCTCTATGTCTAGTTCACTGGTAAGTTACAACCTATGTAACGGTTTTCAGTGTGACACGAAAGAGAATAGGGAACTCGTAGATCAAGTGTTGGTTGCTTTCAAGGGCTCCATACGTTTCATCTGTTAATTTTAGAACGTAACCAGAATTTGGAAATACTCCAGGTTTTGGACAGTAAGTTTATTTAAGGAATCAAGCTCCAAGAGGTAGTAATTCATGGAGGATGACGGATAAGAGCCGCAACAGCGGTGAAACGCGTAGCGCAAAAGCAAAGAGAAAGAAAAAGAAAAAGAGGACTTTCGTTTTTCATTTATTTCAGTATATATATATATATATTTTGCTATGCCTGAAGAGCCGCAACAGCGGTGAAACGCGTAGCGCAAAAGCAAAAAAAAAAGGAAAAAGAAAAGGAGGACTTTCGTTTTTCATTTATTTCAGTATATATAATAGTTTACATAAAATCCACGATTGGATGGTTGCAATGTTAAATTTAGAGTAAGTTTACCATACCTTCTCCATATTTTCTTTATAGCGGGTTTTTCTCCAAGCTTGATCTGTAGTCTCTAGTTTTTCCTGATCTTGATCGTTGCTGGTTGTAAATGGTATGGATACCTTTGGATTCGACGATCTATTTATACGGAAAGTTAAGTATGTCGAATATGTAAATGGCCACCAGGGGGGGTCCCTAAAGTCACGCGGTCTTCTTAGAAAATGAAAGGGTCAAATACTTCAGTCACTCGCACAGATTTCGGAATAAACT